TAGTTATTGTCTTGACCCTGCTGAATGTGACAAGTCCACTATTCCACCACCCAGTCAAGTAATGGTGCTCTGCTAGACAGGCCCCTATCCATAACTCTGGTGTTGACTGGTGTGTGGCAGTCAGTTATGCTCTATGCTCATAGCCCATCTCAGGATTCCTAATTTGGCAGGTGATTCAGTCTGGCCCAAATAAATCTTATGGACACTCCCCTCCAAACCATCAGTCTCAGTCCCCAAGCTTACCTGAAAATTTCAGGACCCTGTAACTGGGATTCACCCAGAATTCATCTCTCACATACACTAAAGCTGGCCTTATTCATAGGAGTCCCTAAGCAGCAATTTCATATCCTAAAAACCCCAAAGCTCGCTGCTGGGCAGCCAGCAGGCAGAGCCTGGCACAAATTGGTGTACTAGCCACCCAAAGCCATGGACTTAGTCACTGCCTTTCAGCAGTGGCTTTGGCCTGAGTTCCCAGCCTTGGATCCGGCCCGGCAGGGGAACCCCCCACAGCTAGCTGTTTGATGCTAGTTGTTTGATGCTCACACAACATCTTCCCAGTTCTCTGCTGTGAGTCTTGTACTGTGAACGGTGGTTGTTTGCTGTTCTGTCTTCTCACTGCAAAGACTCCGAGTTCCTTAAGGACAGATTCCGCAGCTCATTCACTTCACATATTCGTTACTTAACATTGCTTATGTCAACCCAGAGGTGTTCAGGTGGATCTGCCTTATATCTGTCAGATGGATAAGTTAATCTCTGGAACACTGGGCAACTCTAGACTTATTCCCAAAATTATAACTTCCCCCAAATCTAGTCTTATAAGACCACTTGCCTCATTTCATCCCATAAGATTTCCTCATTCCATCCCATAGGACTTTCTTCTATAAAGAGAAAATAAACTAGAAACCTAGCCTTCATTGAATTTCTGCCTATAATGGCTATTTTGATGGATGATTTGAAGCTTTAAGAGTAGCTACTGGGGCCCAGTGTAGTAGCCTAGTGGCTAAAGTCCTCGCCTTGAATGTGCTGGGATCCCAAATGGGCGCTAATTCTAATCCCAGCAGCCCCGCTTCCCATCCAGCTTCATGCCTGTAGCCTGGGAAAGCAGTTGAGGACAGCCCAAAGCCTTGGGACCCTGCACCTGTGTGGGAGACCTGGAAGAAGCTCTTGCCTTTGGATCTGCTCAGCTCTGGCCATTGCAGCCACTTGGGGAGTGAATCAACAGACAGAAAATCTTTCTCTCTCTCTCTCTCTCTTTCTCTCTCTCTCTCTCTCTCTCTTCTCCTCTCTGTATATGACTTTCCAATAAAAATAAATAAATTTTTTTTTAAAAGAGTAGCTACTTGCTGTATGACAGGTTTATTAACTTTTCTGCATTTCTATTTTCTTCTATGAAAATGGATCTGGGTGAAACACAGGCAACAAAAGCAAAACTAAGAAAGTGGGATTATAGCAACTTTTAAAAGTTTCTGTATATAAACAAAACATTCAGCTTTTCAACAAAATGAAAAGCAATCTATCAAATGAGAGAAAATGCTTGCAAACCATACCACTGACATGAGGCTAGTATGAAAAACACATAACAAACTCCTACAACTCAAAAGAAAACTTAGGCCAAGACCTAAATAAACATGTCTCTAAAGAAGATAAGCAAATAAAGTATATATCTTCAAGTATATAAAAAGGTCCTTAATATCAGTAATGATCAAGGGAATGCATTGCTAAGAAGGCTATCATTTAAAAAAAAAACAAACAAGATTTAAAAACTGTTGACAAAGATGTAGCAAAAAGTGAACCCAATACATGTACATACTTGCAATGAAGGAACCATGACTGGATTTGAACTACTACTGCAACAATGTGGAGGAATCCATCATGAGGGGGGGAATCAGGAGGGGATGGGGGAATCTCAGAGCCTATGAAACTATTTCATAAAATGAAATCAAATAAGTGAAAAAAAAGTGAACCCGATACACTCTTGATGGGAATGCAAACTGGCATGGTTATAATAAAAATGGTATGGACATTCCTCAAAGATTTAAAAGTGGATCTAACATGATACAGCAATCCTACTTTCATCTACATCAAAAGGAACTAATATGAGGGTCCTGAAGACATAGCCGTTCTCCCATGTTCATTGCATCACTAACAATGGCCACTATAAGGAAACAACCTAAATGTTGCTCAACTGCAGAACAGACCAACAAAATGTGTGAGTAAAGGGGTATGTATAACAGAACAGTATTCAATCTATGAAAGGAAGGAAATTCTGCCAAGTGAAACGAGCCAGATACAGAAAAACAAACACTCATTTACATATGGAATCTCATGTGAACTCAGTTACATATGGAATCTAAAACAGTGAATTTCATAGAAACACTGTAGAATGGGGACTACCAAGGGCTGGCAAAGGGGAGTGATGGAAAGGTCATGGTACATGTATGAGAGCTGAATGGGGATGTGGGACAGACTGGACTAGTCTGCTGCACATACTGGCAAGCACGGGAACCAGGGCAGGGGGCAAACCAGGGTGGGGGTTATTGTGGGTTACTCCGACTAGGCTGCAGCTCCCATTGGTTTACGTGAGGGCCAAGTATGTGCTGGGCAGAACCAGGCTGGACTGCAACACCCATTGGTTCCAGTGGAAGCCAGGGCTGGAAACAGAACCAACCTAGCAATTGCAACCACCAGCTGATCAGGGCAATGGACTGTGCCAGGCCCTGTACTTGCTAGTACACAAAAAGAATCTGGTCTGGGTTCACCTCAGATAAAGTTTCTTTAGGGATCCCTTCAAACAAACTGCCAGACTCAGATCCCTATCCATGAAAAGACAAAGGACAGAACAAATCAAACAACTACCCCAGCCATATGTTGACAGTGAAAAACTGGGCAAATGGAGACTCTGTGATGGACTATGTCAATCAGTGGATTTTGCAGCAATTTCTTCGTGCTTGGAGTGGCGAGATTGGCAGGAATACAGAACTGTTGAACTATCGGAACTTCTTGAGCAGGACCCTTGGAGCATGCCCCACATCAGGGACCTGGGATGGGTGGGAGACTGGGTGGGGCTTCTCCCTTTACCCTAGATATAGAAAAAAATACGTGGAAATGATAGTCTTTTAAAAAAAAAAGGAAAGGTCATGGTAAAGGGTATATAATTCAGTGATGTAAGATAATTAAGACCTGGTAATCTTTAAAGCACAGTGACCATAATTTATGGTACTGTTCTGCATAGTTAAGCATTTCTAAGAAAGCAGAACTCAGGTTAAGAGTTAATAATTATAAAAAAAAGGTAAAAGAAAAATAGGGAGAGGGGCCCAGACGGTAGCCTAGCAGCTAAAGTAATCACACACCGGGATCCCACATGGGCGTTGGTTCTAATTCTGGTGGCCCCACGTCCCATCCCTGCTTGTGGTCTGGAAAAGCAGTTGAGGACAGTCCAAAGCCTCAAGACCCTGCACCCGCCTAGGAACCTGGAAAAGACTGCTGGCTTCGGGCCCTGCGCGGTGGCGCAGTGGTTAAGTCCTCGCCTTGCACGCCCGGGATCCCATATGGGCGCCGGTTCTTGTCCCAGCAGCCCCGCTTCCCTTCCAGCTCCCTGCCTGTGGCCTGGGAGGGCAGTCGAGGACGGCCCAAAGCTTTGGGACCCTGCACCCGTGTGGGAGACCCGGAAGAGGCTCCTGGCTTCAGTTCGGCATAGCATCGACTGTTGCGCTCACTTGGGGAGTGAATCATCGGACGGAAGATCTTCCTCTCTGTCTCTCCTCTCTGTATATCCGCCTTTCCAATAAAAAATAATAAAAATAAATCTTTAAAAAAAAAAAAGACTGCTGGCTTCGAATCAGCTCAGCTTTGGCCTCTGTGACCACTTGGGGAGTGAATCATTGGATGGAAGATTTTCCTCTCTGTTTCTCCTCCTCTCTGTATATAAAAATAAGTCTTTAAAAAAAAAAGAAAAGAAAAATAGGGCAAGGTAATAGGCACATGCATGGTCTTGCTGTTGGTGATGGTTTCACAGTATATACTTATCGCAAAACTCAGTTGCATATATGCATTTAATAGGAGAAATATAAGGCATTATGACTTTCCACCTGTTCTGTATCTCTTCCCTGCTGTTACAAGAAGTCATGACCTACAAAGTTTTCTTTTGCTCAGTTCCCAAAGGAAAATACGCAGACGGTCCAGCCACAGCATGGAAGAAGCATAGCTGAAGTGCAGCATGCATGTAAAATGTTTGAGACAGAAGCTTTCATCACTAAGCCACTGGAATTTTTCTCTTGCAGCAAAGCTGATCAATAACCTCTTCAAACTCCAGAAGCAAATGTGGGAGTCATTACGTGGATAACAGCATCCCAAAAATCCATCCCACCAGGCACAATGACATTGCCACATGAATATAAAATAAAATTACTGCTCTGAGTTACTGAAGTGAATGCTTCTATAGCCTATGCCCAATTAGCATGCTGATTAAGACTTTGTGAAATCTTTCCTAATCACTAGAATCAATCACTCTCTATTCCATTTCTGTACTTTATGCGTATTTATGGCTGAAAATGACCTGAGCAAATAGCACGTTTTTACCAGTCAGCTTTGTTCCCCAGCTCTGAGCTCTGTGAGGGCAGACAGGCTGTCCTAACCATTTCTGAATCCCAGAACACAGCAGGTGCTCACTTAAACACAACCAGCCACTGTGACCATAGCAATAGCAATGATTCCTAACACTCATCCCAAAATATCCTTGAAGGCAATGAGAACAGTTCCCTCTCTCAATTACAAGGATCCTATAAGGAGACTGCTTTGGGACTGGATGCATCAGCATTGGTTAGGAAAGACTAATTCAGTAAATATGTTAAATACTAACAGCCTGCAACTGCTACAACTCAGATGTACTCCAGGATCATAATGGTCATCAACCTAAAGACTCAAGTTACATACATCTGTAACAAAAAAACACAGATGCCTTATTTTTTAAATCCAACACATACACATACACCCAACCATACCTGACTTCTCTGCTTTTCAATCTCATCCTCAGACGTACAGTTGGACAGAAGCTCAGACCACTCCAGGCGCTCTTCGGGTGTCTTCACCACAAGACCATCAAATATTTCAAAGTACAGCCACGCCAGCTCCTTGGGCAGCTGCAGCTTCCCACAGGCAATGCGCCTCCACGTGGACCAGGAGAGGCGGGGGTACGCCCCCTCGGCCGCGCGGGTCCGCACGTAGCTGGATATCTTCCTGAGATAGTGAAGACTGAACTTGGAGGGAGGGGGGGTCTGCAAGGCACCCACTATAAAGGGGTCTGCTTTCACCCAGAGGAGAACTCCAGGCTGCTCCATATTCTCTCCGAGGACATCCGGAAGAAAAGGCTTCTTTGCATACCTAGGAAACAAAGTTTCTTCACATTCTGATGTGAAAGGAGTACCATGTATAAATTTTTTCACTGCTTTTAAAGGTGCTACGCGTTCAGTTTAAGAAGCAGCTCACAGAAGAACAGATTTTTGGTCAGGACTTATTACAACCTATTTGAGAAAAAACAAAAAAAAACGACCTTACTTGGAATGTTAGGAACCTACTTGAGTTGTCAGGAATGGTTGTTTTAGCAAGAATGTGTAAATGCTTAGGGCAGGAAGCTACACAGGAGCTTGCCACCAGAAACCTTGCTCTCACCTTGGTAGGAACACTGGTCAAAACAAGGGGAACACAAAGTCACAGAGATGGTTGATTGAAGCTTTGGATGCCTCAGCAGACCATGCAAGCTCAGCAGGGAGCCTGATTTAAGATGCAAATACAGGCTGCAAAAATAAACCAGGGGGTGGACCCAGCACGGTGGCACAGTGGTTAAGGTCCTCACCTTGCACGCCGGGATCCCACTTCCCATCCAGCTCCCTGCCTGTGGCCTGGGAAAGCAGTTCGAGGATGGCCCAAGGCTTTGGGACCCTGCACCCGTGTGGGAGACCCGGAAGAGGCTCCTGGCTTCGGATCGGCATAGCATCGACCGTTGCACTCACTTGGGGAGTGAATCATCGGACTCCTCTCTGTATATCTGCCTTTCCAATAAAAATAAAATAAATCTTTAAAAAATAAATAAATAAACCAGGGGCAATTAAAGCACCTTTCATCTCTGAAAGGGTGACACACTCGGGCATATTTTATCAAAACCAGTTCATGTGTAGTACTTTTAGATTCTGTTTGTTGTTTCTTTGCTAAACAATGATACATAATTTTGAGGAATGTTTATAAAATTAAAAACAGGTGGAGGACTCATCCACAGTTTCAGAACTGAACAGCAATTAGCTAATGTTATGCCTTTTTCTAAACATTGATATTAGATTTTACAATTTTATGAGGACTCATTTATGTATTCTATTTTCATGTGTAAAAGTTTCTTGTCAACTGCTTTCACCAGCATAAATATTGCTAGCACCGCTACCCTTCTTCATATTTCCTGCATGATGATTTGCTAGGGGAAAAGCGCATTTCAGAAGCGCATTTGTAAAATAACTGACACTTCTGAAGTTCCTGACATATACTCCTATTGCTTCTCAAATTATTTTTATCAAACTCTACCATCCGTTGGTCACTAAATTCACTTCACTGATCATTCTCAGTATTAAGTAACATCAATAAAAACAATAAATAAAAAGTCTTTCTGGGGCAGGTATTGTAGCACTGTGGGCAAAGCTGCCACTCGCCATACCTGCAGCCCATATGGGCTACGCCACCTCCACTGTAGCTCTCTGCTAATGGCCTGGGAGAAGCAGCAGAAAATGACTCAAGTCTCTGGGCCTCTGCCACCACATGTAAGACCTGGATGAGGCTCCTGCCTTTGGCCTGGTCTTGCCTTGGCATTGGTGGCCATCTGTGGAGGGAACACCACTAGAGGGAACATTTCTTTATCTCCTTCTCTTCATTTTCATTAGAAAGGCAGGTCAGATTTATAGAGAGGAGAGACAGAGAAGGATCTTCGACCCACTGATTTACTCCCCAAGTGGCCACAATGGTCAGAGCTGAGCAGATCTGATCTGAAGCCAGGAACTTTTTCCTGGTCTCACATGGGTGCAAGGAACCAAGGTTTTAGGCCACATCTTCTACTGCTTTGTATTTTTAATACTTCCGTGGGCCCTGCAGGATGGCTCAGTGGCTAAACCCTACAGAATGTGACAGCATCCCATAAGGGTGCCTGCTCTGTCCTGGCTGTTCCATCTCCCACCAGTTCCCTGTTTATGGCCTGGGAAAGCAGTAGAGGATGGCCCAAAGCCTTGGGACCCAGCACCCCCGTGGGAGACCAGGAAGAGGCTCCTGGCTCCTGGCTTCGGATCGGCCCAACACCGGCCACTGCGGTCACTTGGGGAGTGGATCATTGGACGGACTATCTTCCTGTCTCTCATTCTCTCTAGATATCTGACTTTACAATAAAAATAAGTACTTCTGTAAAAAATATATTTCCTCATAAGTTTGATACAAAATATTTATTATAGTATAGTTTGCATCTGAGTCTAAGAAAATCGTGCTTGAGAATGATGTGTTCAAAAATTATCAGACACGGGCTACATGCTAGACAGCGCAGCACTAAATATTTTTGCACTACACATTGTTCTTTCAGATGAGAAAACCGAGGCTGAGAAAAATTAAGGGATTTACTCAACTAGCACAGCCCTGGATTATTTAGGATTACTTCACAACTGCATTGTTTGGGGACGTATTCTTGGAATCGGGTTTGGGAAGAATCCCAAACGATTAAAGCTTGGGTCAGCGGGCCCAGAGGTGTGAGAAGGGTGGAAGGGTGGCTGTCCACCGTCCCCGACCAGCGGGGTGGCTCGCTGTCGTTCTGACCAGATCCAGATGATCCAAGTTACAGGAGGGAGAACTTCGCTCTAAGACCTGGAGGGAGTCCCTGGGAGAAGCCGGGACGCCGTCCTGAGGAGAGCAAGCCAAAGCCACGTCCCGAGCGCGCAGCCCTCCACTGGGACTCGGCCTGAGTCCCAAATGATCAACAACAGGTGTTCTTTCGGCCAGGGCTGAGGGTGTCTCAAGACCCGAGGACACCGCCCCTCGGAGGAGGTACGGGGCTGACCTGGCTGGGGCCGCCTCGCGCCCCGCCCGCACTTGGAGAACACCACAGGCGTCCCGTCCCGGCTGACAGGTTAGGTCGCAGCCCCGACCTCCGCCGAGCGCCAGGGCAGCCTCCCCGGGCCGAGCCTGAAGCCTGCCGGGCCCACCCCGCCGGCCCCTGGGCGGTTACCTGCAAGGGCCGGCACCGCTCCGCCGCACCCCTCAGCCGCCGCGCCCCGGCGTCCGGCTCGCCGCTCCGCCCTCGCCGCGCCCACTGCGCAAGCGCGAGGCCGCAGGCCACCGAGAAGCGGAAGACCCTGTTCCTAGAGCGGCGCACAGAAACTCGGAGGACGCCCATTCCTAGAAGCCGACCGGCGAGTCTTAGAGTGCGCGCCTTTCAACTCCAGGGGTTGGAGGTCTTCCATTCTTCCACCGCACTCTAGTCAGCCAGCAGAGGCTGGAAACAGTCACGCGCTTTGGTTAGTAATCATGGCAGTTTGAGAGCGCTCGCTACGGGCTGGACGCTGTGTAAATCACCTTTATGTATATAGCTCTGTCACCCTGAAGTGCCTTTGTTTTACAGTGAAGAACCTCAGTATCAAAACCCCAACCGTTTGTTCATGGCTTATTGCTACTAAGAAACTGTGAGCTTGCAAGCAAAACGGCCGATGTGACCTTTAGCAGCCTATGTGACCTTTAGCACTGATGGGCCTCAATTCTTGCTAATCCAGGCCCACCTGAGCCTGGTCATCTCACAGGTGGCTCCAAATGATTAAGTGGGTGCTTCCCTTAGTTGCTGGAGGCATGGGCTGTCCAGCCGAGATAGGTAGGGAATGTGGGCTATTTCCCCTCGCCCTACAGACTTATTGAGTTGCCCTTTTTCAAGCTATTGTGGACTGCCCCTATTAAAACCCTATGAATGTGCAGTTTGGGGCCACAGTGGTAAGGGGTATTGGTCAGCCAGCTGCCTACTCTCAACCAAGAACCCAGGTTTGGATGTGCTGAGCTTGGATAAACCATCCTTGTGCACTTGGATCGACTTCAGACTCCTGGTGATTTCTGGGGATCTCAAAATCTGGGCACAACAACAGCTGGTAAAACTAGGGCATAGAAAGGGGAAGGCCAAAGCAGACCATCGGGTTTGTAGTCTGGGCTGCCCCTTTGTCCAGTTCGGTGACCTTGAGCTGACTGCACCACCTCTCTGTTAGATTTGCCACTTGCCAAAATGTTAGATTTGCCAACCACCAGGGAAAGAATAACTCAGCCAGATATATGAAAAGAATTTAGATGGCCTTTATTTCAGGGAACCACGGTCACGGGCTTCCCTTCCCCATGCAGCAGAAAGGACAGACATGAAGGAGTGAGCTGCAGAGGAAGAAGAGCACGGAAGAGAGGGGGAAGGGGCCCTTTTAAACTCTCCTTGACTCAGAAACCAAGACAGGGGTTACCTCGGCCCTTGTTGGGGGCGGGGAGGGATATGGGTCTGTGCCCCTCATTGATGCAACAGTGGTCTCACTGCATGAGAGGCCTACCAGAATTCCGCCATCCTTCTCCACCCTTCTCCTGCCAGTGCAGTAGCCATCTCTCTGCACCTTGATTTTCTGGCACAGCAGTGATGGTTGAGTACCAGCCGCCATGTGTCTGGCACGGTGCTAAGCACTAAGGTGATAGTAGGTGAGCAAAACAAAACACACGAGGGCTGCTTCTTCTCGGTGTGTGTAACAGAATAGGAGATACTGTGCACAGTAAGGAGCCATAAGTGATAAATGCTATGATGATGGAGGGCAGAAATGCAGGAACTGCCTCTGCCGAGCCAAGTTTGAGCTGAGGCCTGTGAATTAACAGGGCTGACATGAGGGGCTCCCTGTTGAGTGGGGCTCCATCTTAGCTGAGGCAAGCCCCCAACCCTTGTGACTAACCCAGCAAAGAGAACCACATCCTGTTTGGCAGGAATGCTGGAACCCCTGACTAGGCCATTCAAACACGACTAGGAGAAAAATGAGTTTCACTTGGTTCATCAACAAAAGGCTCAAAGTTAGTAATTGTTTTATTTCTAAGGTAGTTCCATTTAGCTCAGCCCCTCTGAGCTGTTCACGGTTTATGTTTTTGTTTTTTTAAACCCTGCTGTTTTGTAGTTTGGGGTCAAGAAACCTTTGCGGCACAAGCCCCTCATCACTGAGACCATCTTTCAAATCTTGATCAATGCAACACGTGAAAAGCCACACAGAGATATCTGAGTTTAAAAGAGATTGAGGGGGCCAAGCGCGGTGGTGCGTGGTTAAGGTCCTTGCCTTGCACGCCCCGGGATCCCATATGGGCACCAGTTCTAATCCCGGCAGCCCCACTTCCCATCCAGCTCCCTGCCTGTGGCCCGGGAAAGCAGTCGAGGATGGCCCAAAGCTTTGGGACCCTGCACCTGCATGGGAGACCTGGAGGAGGTTCCTGGCTTCGGATTGGCATAGCATCTGCTGTTGTGCTCACTTGGGGAGTGAATCATCGGATGGAAGATCTTCCTGTCTCTCCTCTCTGTATATCTGCCTTTCCAATAAAAATAAAATAAATCTTAAAAAA